TAAAATAGGCTCATTACAAACAACATCAAAACAAAGACATGCATTATGCATATAATAAATGCAGCTATATGCACTTACTTAAATAGCAACTAATATTTTGTTGGATTCATAAATGCATATTAGTACCAGGTAATTTTGTTATAATACTGTTACTATTATTCAATCACCAATATTTCACTTTGAGTTAAGTAGGATGGTATTTTCTAGTCATGAAGCATCAGCAGTGAGTTGCATCAATCAACAGCTAAAAGTGGAGTAGAATTTTAAAATGACAAATTTTTGATAATTAAGAAAACGTAATTACAAAAACATTATTAATATTACATATAACCTTACCTTTATTATTCTAACAAATCATGAGAACAATGAGTTCTCATTGAGTACTATGAGTGGTACCTCAGAGACAATAGGATGAGAGAGACAACCCAAAATCATCCTATGAAGAACCTTTTACACCATGATCTTATCATCTGATCATTTACTTGATTTATTATTAAATAGCTATTAGAAAGCAAAAATAGAGAAACAGAAAATAGGGGAGGCAAGGGGTAATATTTATTGGTAATCATTAGTGAAAGTTTGGGTGGGAAAATCTACTACTTATTAAAATTGCTCATAACTAAACCTATTGGAATATTAGACTGCATAAAGGCATAAATGTATTAGAAAATGTAATAAAAATTGAAGATGACTTTGGGGGCTGAATTTTTTTAATCGTGGGATTTGGTCCAGTTTTTGAGCAACTTTAAAAATTCCAATTTTGAAAGGAATTGGTTTGAATTTGTTACACAACATAATGACATGTATAAGTACCAGATAAAATTATAATAAAGAATTTTCTTCTAGTTGGTTTTTGCCAAAATTTGGCCAGGGCCCTTTAGTCCAATTTTTGAGTAAATTAAAATTATTTGTAAAAAAATCCAATTTTGATTGGAATTTAGCTCAAACAAAACATGCAACATAAAAACATGTATAAGTATCAGAAAAAATTATAAAAATGGAAAATTGTCTCCTAGTCATTTTTGGTGGAGCTTGACCAAAGATGCTTAGCTTATTATAGTACAAGCAAGCCCAGCTTTTTAGTAACTTTAAAAAATCGTAAAAAATTTAATTTTGATTGGAATCAGCTCAAACTTGCTACACAACATAAGAACATGTATATATATCAGAAAACATCATAAAAATAAAGAATTCTCCACTAGTCATTTTTTCAAAATTTGGCCAGAGACCCTGTACTATTAGTAACGCGGTAGCGTTACTAAGTAGGATTCACCCCCAAACAAAATGGCTGCCACGACTTTTGCAGCCTTGCTATACCGGGAAAACGAGCTCCTATGCTTACCAGCCTTTATAGAGGACCTTATCTTGACCAGAGGACTCCATTGGTACCAATAGCATAGCTCTAGACCTTGTCTAAGAGAAAAGCCAAAAATCGGCGAACCGGCCGTTTTGTTCAGCCACCTTTTTTCATCTTCATCATCATCATCATCAAGAAAGTTAGTCCTGTCAATCCAGTTGTCGGTGTGTATCTCAGTATCAGTCGGTGCTACAAGGATAATTCTTACACCAATCTACTCCAACAGTCTATGCGCGGGTCCATGTCCCATCAGATCATTCTTCAAGTAAAGAAAAAGTGATACTGTGACTGCTGGATAGAGCCATCTTAGCTGCATGCCGCCATTTTGTTAATTAAAGAAGCTTGCCATGTGCTCCAAAATTTGGGTGTGGTCGCGCATGCTCAGATCTGAAGCTTTGGAAGAAGCAATTTATTTTTTTACCAAGCTATGCTTGGAATCAATTACTGCAATACTTTAGTGGAGGTTTCCAGCTAAAAGAAGGTATTAATCTTACATGTTACTGTTTATCAAGTGTATGATTTTATTTTATTTTAAAAAACAAACAATTAATTAATGTTATGCTATGCAATGATAATATGAATGACAACAGCCTGGAAGAACAGGAATAACTGCAACATTGCAGGGAAGATGGACACTATCGGCTCACAGCTTCTTGAACAAGGACTTGTGTCAAGACTAGTATTAATTTCACTTGTCATCAGGATAGTTGATATTCCTTCAGCAAGTCTAAGACTATTCAACGCTGTCTCTCATAAATGATGTAAAGTCATAACAATGATAATAATAATAAAGAAAATTATTGTTTGTGTAAAATCAACAAGCATCACAATGGCAACTAAAGAAATATTATTAAAAAAATCAACACAAACAAGAACATAAAAAATTAAAAAAAACAAGGTTAAGTAGGATTCCGAACGACCAACGAAAATACGAAATGAAAATCCTACTCGTGACACAAATTCTACTCTACATTGCAAGGTGATCCGTAATTCTTACATTATAA